GGGGAAGTTCATAGCACTAAGTGCCCACATGAAGAAACTAGAGAATAGTTAACCTATAGAATTAACAGTACAGCTGAAAGCTCTAGTACACAGAGAAGTAAACTCCCCCAGGAGGAGTAAACGCCAGGAAATAAACAAACTGAGGGCTGAAATCAATAAAATAGAAATTAGGAAAACAATGCAGAGAATCAATGCAACGAAGAGTTGGTTCTTTGAAAAAATCAACAAGACAGACAAACCTTTGTTCAAACTTACCAAAAAGCAGAGTGTGAAAATGCAAATTAACAAAATCAGAAATGAAAAGGGGGACATAACAATGGACTCTCAGGAAATTCAGAGAATCATCGGGTCATACTTTGAAAACCTGTACTCCACAAAATTCGAAAATTTAAAGGAAATGGATGACTTCCTGGATAGCTATCACTTGCCAAAATTAAATCAAGAACAGATAAGCAATTTAAATAGACCTATAAACCCTATGGAAATAGAAGCAGTCATCAAAAGACTCCCAACCAAAAAAAAAAAAAACCCAGGTCCAGATAGCCTCAGTGCAGAATTCTACCAGAAATTCAAAGAGCACCTTATACCAATTCTTCTCAAACTATTCCATGCAATAGAAGCAGAAGGGTCTTTGCCAAACTCTTTCTAATAACCTTGATCCCCAAGCCACACAAAGACACAACTAAGAAAGAGAACTTCAGACCAATATCCCTCATGAACATTGATGCAAAAATACTCAATAAAATACCGGCAAATCAGATCCAAGAACACATCAAAACAATCCTTCACCATGATCAAGTAGGTTTCATCCTAGGGATGCAGGGATGGTTCAACATATGAAAATCTATCAATGTAATCCACCATATAAACAAGCTGAAAAACAAAAATCACATGATCATGCAGAAAAAGCCTTTGACAAAATCCAACATCCCTCCATGATAAAGGTCTGGGAGAGATCTGGGATAACAGGAACATACCTAAATATAATAAAAACTATATACAGCAAACCAACAGCCAACATCAAACTAAATGGACAGAAACTCAATGAAATTCCTCTAAAATCATGAACAAGACAAGGCTGTCCACTCTCTCCATACCTTTTAAATATTTTACTTGAAGTTCTAGCAAGAGCCATAAGACAACAAAAGGAGATCAAGGGGATACAAATCGGAAAGGAAGAGATCAAACTTTCACTATTTGCAAATGATATGATATTTACATAAATGACCCAAAGAACTCTACCAGGGAACTCTTACAGCTGATTAACACCTTCAGCAAAGTGGCCGGCTACAAGATCAACTCAAGAAAATCAGTAGCTCTACTATATACAGATGATAAAGGGCTGAGAAAGAAATCAGAGAAACATCACCCTTTACAATTGCCACAAACAACATAGAATACCTAGGGGTAATGCTAACCAAACAAGTGAAAGACCTGTATCGCAAGAACTTTGAGTCTTTAAAGAAAGAAATTAACGAAGCCTCCAGAAAATGGAAAGATCTCCCATGCTCTTGGATAGGTAAGATCAATGTAGTAAAAATGGCAATCCTGCCAAAAGCAATCTACAGATTCAATGCAATCCCCATTAAAATCCCAGCACAGTTCTTCACAGACCTTGAAAGAACAATACTCAATTTTGTATGGAAAAACAAAAGACCCAGGATAGCCAAAACAACCATGTTCAACAAGGCAACGTCCCGAGGCATCACCATCCCTGACCTCAAGCTCTATTTAGAGCTGTAGTCCTAAAAACACTTTGGCATTGGCACAGAAATAGACAGATAGATCAATGGAACCGAATTGAACACCCTGATATTAACCCATACATGTATGACCATCTGATCTTCCACAAAGAAGCTAAAAATATACAATGGAAAAAAGAAAGCATCTTTAACAAATGGTGCTGGCATAACTGGATGCTGGCATGTAGAATAATGTGGATAGATCCATGTCTATAGCCATGTACAAAACTTAAGTCCGAATGGATCAAAGGCCTCAACATAAATCCAGCCACACTGAACCTGAAATTGGTACAGGAGACAGCTTCCTGAACATAACACAAGTAGCACAGACAATGAGGTTAACAATTAACAAATGGGACCTCCTGAAACTGAGAAGCTTCTGTAAGGCAATGGACACAGTCAGTAAGAGAAAAAGGCAGCCCACATCCGACAGAGGGTTGATCTCCAAAATTTACAAAGAACTCAAGAAGCAAGTCTCCAAAACACCAAAGGATCCAATTAAAAGTGGGCTACAGAACTAAATTGAGAATTCTCTATAGAGTCTAAAATGGCTGAGAGGCCCTTGAGAAACTGCTCAACACCCTTAGCCATCCAGGAAATGCAAATCAAAACAACTCTGAGATACAGTCTTATTCCTGTCAGAATGGCTAAAATCAAAAACACCAATGACAATTTATGCTGGAAAGGTTATGGTGAAAGGGGAACACTCCTCCACTGCTGGTGGGAGTGCCAACTTGTACAGCCACTTTGGAAATCAGTATGGAGATTTCTCAGAAAAATGGGAATAAACCTACCACAAGACCCAGCAACTCCACTCTTAGGCATGTATCCAAAAGATACCCATTCCAGAACTTGGAAGCAACCTTGATGCCCCTCAATTGAAGAGTGGATAGAGAAAATGTGGTACATTTACACACTGGAGTACTATTCCACAGGAAAAAAAAACAATGGAATTCTGAAATTTGCAGGCAAATGGATGGCACTAGATGAAACCATCCTGAGTGCGGTAACCCATTCACAAAAAGAGAAACATGGCATGTACTCTCTCATATATGGATTTTAGACATAGATCTGGGGAGTACCATCCTACAATCCCATGGCCAGAGAGTCTGGGAAACAGACCCTTCATTCAGTGGCTGATGAAAGCAGAGGCAGACTCCCACAGCTAAACACTGAGCTGAACTCAAGAAATCCAGTGACAGAGAGGGAGGACTGATAACCAAAGGCGTTTAGACTGGGCTGGTTTAACCCCCAGAAACCCCCAGCTGTCCTGCCTAGGGTTAGCTCTTGGATCCCAGGCTGATGCCTGAGAATGCAGCATGGGACTGATCAAGACCCCCTGAATGTGGGTGTCAGTGAGGAGGCCTAGGTAATCTATTGGGCCTTGGGCAGTAGATCAGTATTTATCCCAGGTAGACAATTGGACTTTGGGCACCCATCCAACAATGTTAGATGCACTCTTACCCTGGACTCTTGGGGGAGGGTCTAAGCCCTGCCCTGGATGAAATGACAGACTATGGATACCCCCATGGAGGGCCTCACCCTCCCTGGGGAAATGAGGGGATATTGGAGGGGTTGGTGGGAGGGTGTGGGAGGAGGGGAGGGAAAGGGAGAGGGACCTGGAATTGACATGTGAAGCAACCTTGTTTCTAATTTAAATTTAAATTTAAAAATAAAAAATAAAATAAGAAAAAGAAGGATAACTTCTTTTTATAGCAAAGCATGTCAGGAACATTTAGTCTATGAAGAAAAATAATAATAGATATTTTTCCTCAATAGTGTTTTGTGAGTTGCTTCCCACAATAGATTAGGGGCCTGAATATAAAAACATCAGCATAATGAAAGCAACCCAAAAATATGTGTACAGAACCTCACAAGCAGAAGAAATAGAAAGGTGCAGTCCGTATATGATCCAGTATAAGTTAATCTGTTACAACATATATTTGATTGTTTCAGCAAGTGGTAGGGTACTATTAGCTTCAAAGCTTCTGAAGAATTACCGGCAGCATTTGGTGACACTGAACTGTTAAGGACTAACCTTTCCTTCACTCACAGCACTTACTCTGCATTCCTTTTGTGGTGGTTTGAAAGAAGATGAACCCCAAAGGAGGAAGTGTCACTATTTGTTGGAGTACGTATGGCTTTCTTGGAGTAGGTACATTAGCGGAAGTGTGTTACTGTGGAGGTGGCCTTTGAGGTCTCATATATTCAAGCCGTACACAGTGAGTTAGAACACATCCTGTTGCCTGTGAGTCAAGATGTAAGAACTCTCAACTCCTGTTCTAGTACCGTGTCTGCCTGCACGCCACCAGGTTGCACCACGATGATAATGAACTACACCTCTGAGAATTCAAGTCACCCAATCAAATACTTTTCCTCTATATGAGTTGCCATGGATGGTCACGGTGTCTCCTCACAGCAACAGAACCCCAAACTAAGACACCTCTCCTCTTGTAGGTTACTCTAGATCTGCAACAAAGAATTCTATACTGCCCTCTGAGTAAGGGGTCAGGCTTACCAATTCTTTTCATTCCTAAACACTTATTGGGACTGTTTTAACATCCTAATATTGAGAATATAAATGACTACAAACCCAATTGCTTAAAACAACACACATTTATTCAATTTTTGGAACTCTGAAGTCAGAAATAAATGTTATAGGGATACAATCAAGTAGCAGTGTGGCACTAAGGAAAATTAATTCACTGTCTTTCTTAGCTTCTGGTGGCCTTCTGTATTTCTTGGCTCATGAACCTTTGATTCATCTTCAAGGGACATCACTCCAATTTCTGCTTCTGCCATTATGCAATCATTTCCTCTTCTATAGTCAATTCACCGCCCCCATCTTATAAGGACATTTGTACTTTTAATTAGGAGCCACCCTGACAATCCCAAAATAACCTTCTATTAATAAGATTCTTAATCACATTTTCAATGTCTCTTGTGCTGTCTACAGCAGCATTGACAGATTCCAGATATTAAAATGAAAATCCTTGGGAGACTATTACAGGGCTAGAAATTGCAAACTGCAAGAGAAAAATAATGTGGTAAGCGTGGGATCATTTTGCAATGGTCGTGATTTTAAGGGTCTAATGGCTTGGTTAGGAGCCCTTCACTGAAATGAAGACACTGCCCCTGTTGCTATCTTCGGAACCTCAGGCCAGTGTGGGAACAGTGTAGGAAAGTAAGTTCCTCATATGGTTGGTATGTACTTTTGGATCTTGCATAGAAGATGATCTTCAAGAGACTCTTCCCCACCTAGAAACTATTACACAAGTTTTTGTCACAGCACATATAGTACGTTAATTTATTATCGTGGTAATCCTGTCTTTCCTTGCAGCGACTTATGCATAGTTGTCTGGAGGACAGATGCTTTGATCCTAAGAATCAAGAAGAAGCCTGTTACACATGCTGGGGGAGATTACCTTAATACATCTTCCTAAACGTCACTGCCAAGAGGAAAATCCCTTCACACTGGATCCCTTTCTCTGACTCCTTGGGATCACATTCCCATGTTGACTCTGACTCTGTATGCCAACGCCCCCCCCCCATGATAAATTACAAAGTGCTCTTTTTCCCTCCTCCCTACATTTTACTCATTGCCTCACCACTTAGCAAGGCTCAGCAAAGTTAGGTTCTTTATTCTAGGCACTGTTATGAGTAATAGTCTTTTGAAGGCATTTTTTTGGAGTCTGCATCAGCCCCACTTACCCGAAAATTGTGCTATGGTAGCACACGACTGACCACGTTTTGCATTGCATCGGCCTTGGCCATATCTACATCTTGAATTTTTCGAGAATTCACAGACATTACAGGTCAGACCTATATTTGTTGAGTAAGGAGAGAACACGATGTTTAGGATGAACTGTAAGGCTATGGGAACCAGTGAGTAAAAGATCAAAGAGAGGCTTCAGTGTTACACATAGACTGTACTGTCTGTTTACACCATCAGCTAGTATTCAACCCAGCTTTATGAGTTAAGCTAAGGGGTGGATTAAAATAATGATGGCATTATTTCTGTGACATGGTTGGTACCTACTTTATATTTGAAGATGAAATAAAAACAATGATATATATCAAAGATTATATATATATATTCAGTTGGATAAATTGTACAATGCAGTTTGAGTATAACAGCAAGCAGATTTAATTGGGCTGAGAAGGAAAGACTTCTCTAGCCCAGGACTTGAGTTGATTATTGGAGATAAGGAGATGTAGGTTATATCTGGAGGATCTTATGAGGGAGGGCATCAAGGTGGGAACAACATTGAAATGTTCAGAGCAGACTGAGGTTACATTTTCTGCTGATGACCCACTTAGCTCAGCCCTACTTTCTCTCTTTTCACTGAATGTCACCAAGCAGAGAGATAATCCAGGAATCCCTGTGATCAGGTAGTAACAGGGCAGGAGAGGCAGGACATGGAAATGACATCAGAAACTATGACAACTTCAGCTTTTAGGATTAAGCAACATTGACTGAGAGAAAAGGGAGTACATTATTTCATTCTCTCATCTCAGGCATCCCAAGATTATTGAATCTGAATCTATGTGGAGCCAGAGTCCCCGAGTGTCCTTGACTCACATCCAGCTCCCAGGACGACGTTGCACATCTGTCTTCTGTATTCCACTCTGACTGCTTCACTAACACTGCCTGTACAAATGCTGCTAGCAATCCCCAACGACAAATCTAATTGTCTTTGCACGACCCAAGAGTTTGTTCACTTACAAGTAATGATGATTGAAAGCATATGGGAAGATGTGAGAGGCAAGCATAGCGCAAAATTTTATGTCAGGGACTTGAACATTCATGGGTTTTGGTATCAGGGGTAGGCCTGGAGTGAGTTGCCCTTTATAATATAGTGAGATGGCTATATACTACACATAATCTGCACTTTGATTTCTTTTGAACAATATAGATGTAAGCAAAATATTCCACTGTAGCTTTGTGACATGCTTTAATTAATCAATCCTTATGTACATTTATTTCTACTTTTTGATATTACTTGCCACAGTAAGCAATCCTGAACATATTCATTACACTATAATGAGGTTATTAGTATACGATTTCATTTGCATGTGATTATATCTGTAAGATAATTTCATATAATCAGATTTGCTGGATAAAAATAAACTATTATTTTGATAAATTTGCAAGATACACTTTAAATGAAGTGAAACTATTTGTACTCTTGCTATCAATTTTCAGGCAATTCTTATCTCACTGCAACCAGGACACTGCAGCCTGTTATTTAGTTTCTGAATGCTGACAATCTGATAGGTTCGTTTAATATTACTTCTCTTTGCTATATAAGCAGTGAGACTGAGCACATTTTTCTATATTTAATAGCTATTTGTAGTTACTGTGTGGTGAACTTTTGATGTCTTTGACTTATCTTTCTGTTAGATTATTAGTGTATTTTAAGATTTTTTTATTGTAAGTCATCATATATTAGGGACATTAGCCATTTGTTCATGACATGAATTGACTTTTTGCTTTTTACTATGAGGAATTTTTATTTTTCTTTCTTGATTTTATTTTTATTTTTTGAGATTATAATATAACTACTTCCTTTTCCACCTTTGAGCTCTCCTTACGGCCCTCCTTGCTCTCTTTCAGATTCATGTGTTCTTTATTTTAGGAGCTTTTGGGTTTTGAGTTATAGTTAGAACGGTCTTTCACAAAAGAATAATCCTACATTTTCTCTAATATTTTATGGTTTAACATTTCTTAGCAAAAGGGGACAAAATAGAAACACCACTGTAACTTGAATACATTTAATAAGTAGAAATAGTGGGAATTAGTCATTAATTTTCATTTAGTGATGAGGGAGAGCTATGTGCCAAGGCTGATTTTGTGCATTCACTGGTGTAAGACGGAGGCTCAGCAGAGAGATCTGCCTGAGGAGGGAAGCCTGCCCTTTTCAGCTGTCAATGGTAAGTGGAGCCTTGGAAGTGGGAGGGGATCTGTGTGAGTAGCATAGAGCTTTGTGAGCCTGAGGTCAATCAGGTAAATAAAGATTCCTGCTGACTGAACACCTGCAAAGTACAAGGAGAAGTCACAGGAGAAAAGAAAGGGAAGGAGGAAGATGTTGTGTAGGACACAGCATAGTTATGTTTCAAGAAAGGGGGAAATAAAATGGGAACCTATGAATAGAATCTCAAAAACTGGAGGTCTGAAAATTGCTGCCCTGTTTCTCTATGATTCCTCTGTTTTCTTCTTGATTAGTATATCACACGATCCCTCTAATGCTCAGAACCTCAGTCTTTAGATTTGAGCTGCCATACCTGAGTGTAACTGGAGGACACTGGCTTAGAAAATAGCACTCCCAAGACCTCCCTCCACTCCCACGGTGGAAACTCACCCTCCACGAAATAGAGAAAAGATAAGGTCACGATGAGCAATGTGCAGATTTTTGTTGCTAGATTCATGCTGGATGATAGATCGTGGCTTGAGGTACAGTAAAGGATGGCCACTCAATCCTTTTATACAGGTGGAGAACAGGAAGAAATCTCCAATATCGGCACAAGGAGGAAATGCCCTTTTCTTTTTCAAAAAGCCAGATGTACGATAATGTGGGAAGCACAGGCTGCCCAGCTGGCTAGCTACAGCTGAGTCAGATAGCTTCCCTGCCTTGTCTCCTGTGCAAACAAGTGTGTGAGGTATAGTTTTCTGGTCCTCCAGAAACCTCTCTACATACTAAGTGGGAAATGTCTGCTCATCCTAGGATTCAGAAATGGGAGATGGTGACTCAGAATTCTAAGTCCTCCAGAAAGGAACATGGAGCATGAAGGTTTCCTGACAGCTTATTCCAGTGTTGGAACTTTCTCCAGTTTGAGTCATAGGAAAAGGGAGTTTTGAACCTAAGAGTCAGCACACAATGTCCTAGCTTCTGTCTTCTAACTCCTCCATCTCCCCCCTTAGGGAGTTCTAGTGCTTATCATGCTTGAAGTCTGGGGTATCTGGAAGTCTGGGGTATCTCAGGTTCCCAGCAGATCTTACAGTGAGGAAATTCAAGGTGAAGGAAGAAATGAGGGTGCTACTTCAGAGGCATTTCCAGTGAGCTCCTTCTCAGGGTCTGAGTATTTACTGCCCTACCCTTCTGGAATTAAAGCTAGGACCATGCCTCCACCACCCTCGGCCCTGTATTACAAATGGCCCTGCTGTGTACTCTAGGGGAATGAAATAGCCTGGTCCCAGCCTCACCCTTAGCCTTTCAACTCCATTCTTGGTAAACTTCCAGAAGAAAGTTTCTTGCTTGTTGTCCTCGTGGCCTCCCCAACTTCTCAGGGAGATTTACTTCCTCCATGAATGCTGCCATCTCTGTTGGGGTGCATTGTCTGCACCCCATTCTAGTTGTCCCACGTCTCATCACGGTTCTTTTCCAGGTGACCTTGCCTTTGTGTAGCTCCATTGTCTGGGCTTCATTTCAAACCAATAACCACAAAGGTCTTTTCTGTTTCCTTGTTGGCCTTGTCTCTCTGTGGTGTGACCTTAACAGACAGGGCTCTCTCCCTATTGTTCTTTATACCTTTTACATACTGGATCCTAAAAACAACTCTGGAATGTGTGTGTAATAGCTACCATTTCTTCAAATGAAATGTTCAGTAACGGATCCAGGTCACACACCAGTTAGCAAGTTACAGAGGATGTGAACCCAAGATGTCTATATCAAAGTTATATCTGAGATACATTTACAAATCATACATTTATTTCTATTAGTGGGATTTTGGTGTATTTCTCAACTCTTGAGAAAAATATTAATTTGTAATCAGCTTCCTGGAACTGCACCATAGTGAACAAGGAATTCAGTTCTATATTCTCAGAGTTATATACTTTGTATGAGTTTCCTATTGCTATGGTAAGAATAAACTTCAAACAGTGGCTTATGATGCCATGAATTACTTGAGCTCCAGAAGCATAGAATCTTATGGAGCTGCAGTAAAGATGTTAACAACAGCTAGTTCCTTCTGGAGACACTGAAGAAGAAAATATATTTTCTTCCAATATCCCATAGCTAGTGACCCATTTCTCCACCTTCAAAGCATATAACTTCAAAAGATGCTTTCATCGTTTATATCACATTCCTCATTTTGTAATCAACCCCCACTCCCAGATCCTGTCATCAAATACTTGGATTTGCATATGCTAGGCAAAGTTCGCTACCTTTGAACTTTGTCCTCAGCCCTCTACGGCTCTTCTATATGGTTATTTGTGAGCATATTTTGGAACTCAACCACATGAAACATGATAACCTTTAATCCCATGTTTCTTAACATAATCAGATATTAAAAGTCCTATGGAGTATATACAGTAACATTCCCCAATAACAGAGATTGGGATAATAAAAATCTTCTGAAGTTATTATACACTTTTTCTATTTAGTACTGTCAACTAGATACAGCCTAGATCACTTGAAAACATCTCAATTTGATAATTGTCTTTTTCAGGTTAGTCTGTGGTCATGTCTTGGTTGTTAATCAATTAAGAAGATCCAGCCCACTGTGGGTGGCACCATTCCTATGCAGGTGATCCTGAGATGGATAAGTGTGAACCTCTGAGTGACACACACAAATACCCACACCCACACACCCACACCTACCCACACCCTACACCCACACCCACCCATCCCCCCGCATGTGCGTGCGCGCGCACGAGCGCGCGTGCACGCTCGCGCGCACACACACACACACACACACACACACACACACACACAGAGAGAGAGAGAGAGAGAGAGAGAGAGAGAGAGAGAGAGAGAGAGAGAGAGAGAGAGATTAGAGTTCCTCCATGGCTCCTATCTCCAGATTCCTTCCTGTGATCTCTTTAATATGATTTCACTTTCTGTGAGGTCCTCAACCAGTGTCTTGGTTTAGCAGAAAGTCTCACACTTAGTGAAATGATCACTGATGGTTTACTGAGTTGGAAAATGAGTCAATGAGTAGAAAATTTAAGGGTAGAGACTTTAGTTCAACTTTAGGGAGAATTTACAATAAATAGTACAAATATACAATAGGGCACTTTGTGCAGTGGCATTCCAGTGACTGTGGAATTAGGGTGAGCACTCTTCTGGAGTGCATGGGTAAATCGGGTAGGGGTGCGGTGTTCTTGGAAATGTCCTTTCTGGAAAGTGATCTTATGATCTGTGACATTAGGTGACTAGTCTAAGGACCTATCACAAAAGGGGACAGTGCGCACGTCCCCCAGGGAGGCACATGATGAATATCTGAGAATACTGGATCCATGCCGCTGTCCACACTGAGTACAGTCACTCCGCCATCTGTTTATAAATAATTCCTGGAAATGCAGGAGCAGTTGACAGTTGCCTGAGAGATAGAATCATATTGTTTTAAAACATGGCCATAAGAAAATATGGTAGTTGAACGAACGTGAAATTATAAGAAGAATTTTCTATTGTTTGTGGGAGACATTCTGGATGCCATTGATAGCACAATATTAAGATAAATCTGTTTCCTTGTGAAGTCTTTGAAGAATGTTTACTTAGGAGGATGGCTATATTGGACTCCGTCGCTATAAGTATTTCCAATTCTACTAGGTTCTCAGCCTGTTGGCTTCTCCCCCAGTTCCTCCATTGTAAGGGTTACTGGCTAAGTGAGAGTTCTTGACATGTGTTCCTTAGATAGTCTTCACAGCAACTCCACCCACCTGGAAATATACCCTGCTTTCACACTTGTGCACGTTATTACACGAGAGGACAGGAGAACCACAAATCATAAAGACCCATGAGTTAGGTAATATCAAATTTAACCTTCTTCATCAATGAAATGGAGAGTGAAAAATACTAGTCACAGTCTGGGACTCCAACAATTCATCTGGTATTGACAACTGAATTCTGATAATTTTATTGAAAAACTATAAATAAGAACAAACATACCACTTAAGGTCTTAGCTAAGAGCAATAAGATGAGAGAAGGAAATGAATGGGATAGAAATAGAACAATGAAGCCGGGTGGTGGTGGCGCACGCCTTTAATCCCAGCACTCAGGAGGCAGAGGCAGGCGGATCTCTGTGAGTTCGAGGCCGGGCTGGACCGACAGCCTCCAAAACAATACAGAGAAACCTTGTCTCGTAAAACCAAAAAAAAAAAAAAAAAAAAAGAAATAGAACAATGAAGTCAAAGTGTCCCCACTTACTGATGACATCATTCTCTGTCTAATCAACCTTAAAGATTACTCACTAAACCCTTATAACTAATAAACACTTTCAGCAAAGTGAGAGACTACAAAATTAACACATAAAATCACTATAGAAGGGTTTGTGTTTTCTCTGCAGCCTTGTCACCATTTGTTGTTTTGTTTTCTTAGTGATAAACAACCCAGCTGGAGATGGTTCAGCAGTTAAGAGCACTGGCTGCTCTTCCAGAGGACTGGAGTTCAAATTCCTAGCACCCACATTACAGTTTATAACTATCGGTTCAAAGGATCCAATGCCATCTTCTGGCCTTCATGGGCTCCAGGTGTGTATGGTATACAGACATCCACTCAGACAAAACACCAATACACATAAAATTAAAAACAAAATCCAGTTGTGGTGAGATGCACACTTAACATAGTTTTCATTTTCAGTTTTTCTGTGGCTAAAGACAATATTAGTGTCTTTGTGGTTGCTGTGATAAAATGAAATTTTAAGAAGGAGGAGTTTGGGCTCACAGTCCCATGGTTTAGTTCATTACAGCAGGAAGTCATGGCAGCAGGAGCAGGAGGCAGCTGGTTACATTGCATCTGAAGTCAGGAAGCAGGGGAGACGAGTCCCCACCTTCCCATTATGTAGTCCAGGACCCAAGCACACAGCATGGTGCCACCATGGTCCATTACCTGATGTTTATTGTGCCCTCCTCTACAGAAAGACATCGCTGTTGCTGAGTTTTGTCAGTTATCAATAAAGCTGCTATAAGCATATAAGCAGCAACGTGTGGGCAGAGAACATTGTAAGTCCCTTTGCATGACGGCTGGATCATAAAATAAGAATTGAAAGTATTTTTTTATTACTTTAATTTTAAATAGCTTGCTTCACAAGTCAATCCCAGTTCCCTCTCCCTCCCCTCCTCCTGCACCCCCCACCATCTGCCCCAGCCTCCCACCCTATCCCCACTTCCTTCCACATAGGGATATCCAGAGTCTGTCATTTCACTCAGGGCAGGGTCCAGGCACTCTCCTAAGAGTCCAGGCTGAGAGAGCATCCCTCTTTGTGTTATGGACACACGAAGTCAGTTTGTATGCCAGGGATAAACACTGATCCACTGCCCAGGGCCCCATAGGTTGCCCAGGCCTCCTCACTTACTCTCTCACTCAGGGGGTCTGGATCAGTCCCATGCTGGCCTCCCAGCTGACTGTCTGGGGTTCAAGAGCTCTCCCCTGTTCAGATCAGCTGTCTCTGCTGGCTTTGCCAGCCCATTCTTTGCCAATTTGCTCAT